AAATAACTAAAGAAAGTAATTTAAGTTTGGTCATGTCCGTAATAACAAGGAAGATACTTTTAGGACTTAGGAGTATAATTTTTGAAATACAAATAAAGAATTCAAATGGAACAGGAATGTGTATAGTAAATTATTAACCCTTTATTACGGTAGGTTGCAACCCAACAGAAATGGACACTATTTCATAATGATATGACCCACGGGCCACGACTTAATGGATTAGTTCAACAATGTCTCTGGATAGATATCATCGTTTTAATCCTACATGAATGTGTATCCCTAATATTACTGTAGTAATAACTATAGGCCTTAGGGAAATTCTTTAGGTCTTGTGCTTTGAAAAATGTTAGGGGTACACCTTTTGTCCACCACACCCTCCATTACCACAAAAATAGGCAAGAAACTAAAACAAAACTAAATAAATAAAAATTGGGTAAATATGAGTGGTAGAGAAAAGGGTGGGGAACAAATGGGGTACACTAAAGGTACACCTTTGGTGTACCCCTAGCATTGCTCCTTGTGCTTTATCTTTATAATGGTATCAAATTAATCATTGAAAAGCAGCGAAAGAACAATATCAGTGCAATTATTGTTTTAGAAAATTGAGTCGAGAAAAAAGTTTATATGTCTCGAATGAAGTTAATATCATCTGATTGAGGATAATTAACAAAAGTTCAACAGTCTTATGTTCGATAGTTTCTCCTCTTGGGGGGGGGTGTGCAAACTGCCAACTGAGCCAGGACTTTATCCAGGGATCCATGGCTGGTTTTTATGGTGGCTTTGGAGTGGATGGTTTTGATTGTCTATGTTCATTCTCTCTGTCAATGAAAATTTGTCAAATAGAGGATAGTCTTTACCTATAGAATAACATGTTTTTCCTCTTTTTCATCAGACACAATTAAAATCAAAAGTCAATCTCACTTAATAAAAGCCTCAGGAGAGAGAAAGCGTTCCTTTGGTGTAACGTAGAAGAAGACTAATTTTAGATTGTTTCAATCAGATCTGTCACATGTTTTCCTCAAGGGAGTAGTTACCCTTTACGAGAGCCTCACTTATGAAGAAGAACCCGTACAGATCTTAGCGCGTGAAGTAAGGAGTTGAGGAACAAGACAATCCCCTTGGTCAAGGTGCTTTGGCGGAACCACGCGGTGAAAGAAGCAACATGGGAGACCGAGGAGTTCATGAGAGCTCATTATTTTCAACTCTTCAGTAACCAATGACTTAGGTAATTTCGATGATGAAATTATTTTAAGGGAGAGAGAAATGTAACGCTCTGAAACCCGACATATCATGATTAATTAATTAAAAATAATTAAATTAATTAGTGAGACAGACTCCGTGGAATTATGAAATATTCTCCGTTTGATAAAAAGCTTTATACCGCTGTGTAGGATTCGACGGAACGAATCCAACGGTGCAAACGAATTTGGATTTGGAGCCCGTTGACCCGAAAAATGTGTTTTGGGCCAGGTACGTTAATTAAATACGGAGCCCAAGACCCTAAACCTATAAATAACACCCTTACACGTTACAACCCCTTTCACGCCTCCTCATATTACGTAAACTCACTCCCTCCTCTCTCTCGTATCTTGTTAATCGAAGAACGGTCAAAGAACAACAGAATCGAGCGCAGTAGCGGGAAAGAAAGAAGAAGGAGTTCGTCGTTGTGTGAGAGCATGAATTGGACTAGATATGTTGTTTTGTGAATTTGGAAAGCATGAATTGGACTAGATATGTTTATGAGCATGTAGATAATGTTTGGATATGAATATAAAACCTATTGATGCCTGTTATGTTGTATTTGATGTTGGTTTGGTGTTGAAAAACCTTGCTGGTGCAACCCACGAACTTATCGCGTCCGATGGTAGGACGGTACCACCGGGTCGGTACCGAGATACCACCACCCTTAGCGTATTCCACCCTCCTCTACCGGTACTTGTCACCAAACGGTACATGTATACTGGATGGACGGTAGGTCCTATCGCCATGTCGGTAGAGGTTACCGTGATAGGGCTATCGGGTGAGAGGAAGATTGTTCCGGACGGTATCCACGTACCGTGGGGCGGTACCCTAGTACCGTGGGATCATTAACCCATACCGTTAAGGGTACCGTGAGGTACTATACGAATTCCGCCGGTTTGTATTTTTGTCCAAGATCGATTCCGAGACTTTGCTTGTTGTATGACGGTAAACATAGGTGTCAACACCGAGTGTTAGGCCACTGTTTAAGTATATTGGTTATGTTGTTAACGTTTGTATGATGTATGAACATTATATCATGAGTTGCTAATGGATAATGACCGAATCACCTAGAATAAGTCTAGGGACTAACTTGAATGGATTAGTGTCAAGATATTTCATAAGTTAGTAAGTTAGAGTTATGTGATACCCGCTGTGTCCAATGGCTGTCCGGGTAAAAAACGTGCGCACGGGGATTTGTGAACAGTCATTCTGAATTCTGAATGGGGCATGGATCTCACCACCCAACGAGGAACTACTCCCGAGTTGGTTTTGAGCTTGACCTTCGTTCTGAAGGCGAAGGTAATGACTCTCATAGGCAGGTCGAAATCAGTAAGCTATAACCTAGCATAGGTAAATGGCCGAGTACAAGAGAGGAGGTAAAGTAAACTAAAAAAGGAAAGTACTTAATCATTATATCACTGTTAATTGTATCATATGAACTGTTATGATGTTGTTATATGCATGTTATATCTTGTATACTATTACAATTATTGCTACATATGTTATGTGCATGATATCGTACGATGATATGGACTAGTGGGATCGTCTATGTGTATATTAGTATGTTAGATGTTTCTCACTTAGCTTCAATGCTGAGCGTGTAGCATTTGTTCTTTTGCTGTACGTATGTAATCCAGGGAATGATGAACTTGGAGCCAATCTTAGAGGGCGATGAGGATACGGAGATGTGCGTGACAGTTATTAAAGATTTTGAGTTATTAATTATTATTTAAATAACTTATTACTTTTACGGGCATGATTCTCAAGTTGTGTTTTGAATAATGTTTTAAGCTTCCGCAACTACTTTAAATATTAATCTGATTGAATGTTGAATTATGTTTTGAAGTATCACTTAAATTCGTTTTGAAAATTAAGTCGTGTTTGGGTATCAATTTAGTGGCAACCTTGTTCTCTAATTTGTATATTTGAGTTATTCGGGTTGGGGTGTTACAATCATATCATTTTTAAAAATTCGAGATCGAGAGTAGTACTCTAGCTGTTAACGATGTTTGAGTGGAATTATGCTCAGTTCAATTTATTTAAAAATTGGCATAAAATTTAGAAATAGAATTTATATATTAAAAAACTATATCAAAAGATCTAAAAAAGAGAATATAAAAGTATATTATTTTAAAAAAGTGAAATTTGCACGGAATAGGACTAAAAGATAAGTCATTTCCCAATGTAGGACTTAAACTTTTTTATTTACTAAATAGGACTTAATAATGAATAGTGAGAAGAATAATGTCCAAATGATGTTGGACATTTAGTTGAATAATGACTAACAGATAATGACCAATAGTCCTACATTGGGAAATAAAAACATATAGTCCTATATTGAAAAAGTAATCATGTTTTAGTCCTATTTAAATAAGTTATCTTTTAAAAAATAGATAGAAAAAATCGGTTAAAATTAAATGTAGTTAAAGTTCAACCATATAAAAAATAAAATGTAATTTAAATTGAGACAGAGAAAATGCAATGAACTGTGGAGGAGTAGCTCACAAAAGCACATTCATCCTAGCCTTGATTACCAAAAGTACTCTTCTAATTGTCTTTATCTTTTTTCAATAAGAAGTTTTTTTTAAGGACTACTAATCCCAAAGTAGGCGTAAATATGAGATGTACGGACCTACACACATACACAATGCGGAGTAGGCGTTGAACGGTGTGATAATTCCGCTACGTCTTGTGACTGACGGAACGGGACGGTGTAGGTGCCGAAATTACCACATTGTACGGTCCTTGAAGGGGGATTCGGGTTAAAAAGGACAGACAGGTCAGGGGCGAGAAGGTCATTTCAGGCAAATGGTGTTGCCGAACGAACGGGTCACTGAAATCCAAAACGCCTAAAAGCAAAGTGTGACCTACGTGGGCCGGCTTTTTAACTATATTTAGCTGGACAGACAAAAAACCAACACAATTATCACCACACCCTCTCTATCTCTATCTCTTCTACCCCCAAACTTCCATTTTTCTCCCTCATTTTTTTTACCGGAATGGTGTAGTTCAAGTGGTTAAAAAATCTAAAAAAGAAATTGCTATCGAGTTCGACTCTTTACAAAAAATGTTACTCCCTCCGTCCTGAGTGTTTGTACATTTTTATTTTTACACACCATTCAATGCACTTCTTTAATCCATTTTATCTTGTAATTTGTATATTAAAAAAATATAAAAATTATATATTAATAATCTATATGTTAAGACGAATCAAACAAGATCACACATGACTATTTTTAGGCTTACACATTGAGAGAATTTGATGAGTTAAAGTGCTTATATGAATAGTTCTAAAAGTCAAAAGTGGACAAACACTCAGGGACGGACCAAGTATTATATTTTAACTGTGATTGGGAATAGCACGAATTCTTTTAAAATTTTATTTACCTTCTCGCAGATTATCGTTCTTAGGAAGCTTGAGTTCATTCTTTCTTTTTTCATTTCTCTCTTTTACACCTCATCATTTTTCTTTTTCTTTTTCTTTCCCCCTTTTTTGTTCCTAACTCAAACCCATAAAGTTTTAACCGCTGTAATAAATTTCTATCTTTATTTTTTTACAGTTCTTTTAATTTTGTTTTAGAAAAAGAACTGAAAGATTCCACAGCTAGGAGTTAATTATTTTTTATTTATATGTATTTTTAAAGAGGAAGTATGTGATGGCTGTCATTCATTTTTTTAATTTAATTAATAATTAAAATTATTATTATTATTATTACCAGATAGAGAGACAGGCAGATCCCACCGAAATAAATTAATAAATTCACCACACCCCCCATCTTCATAAAAACCCCCACAAGAATTCACCATCTTTTAATAAAATTAATTTCTCCTTTTTTTAATTTTCCGGTCTGGGGAATTGAAGGCTCCTCTTTCTCCGAATTCATCTACATCGAGGGATCTGGGCCGTCATCGGAGATGCTGGGGGTTTCCGGCCTGATAAGCGGCTCGGGCGATGGGGCCGCCGCAGCAGCGGAAGCTGCGGAGAGTGGCGGCGGTGCTGCCGCGGACATGGGCGGCGAAGGGGGGTCGCTGCCGCCGAGCGCCTTCGGGGAGGCGGCTAGGCTGGAGGAGGGGGAGCGGAATTCCGGCGGAAACAGGTGGCCGCGGCAGGAGACATTAGCTCTGTTGAAGATTAGGTGGGATATGGATGTTGTTTTCCGAGACTCGAGCTTGAAAGGGCCGCTGTGGGAAGAGGTTTCCAGGTACATACATACAGCAATTATATTAATTTACTGTAAAATATCTTCAATCTCCTTTCTTCAATTCTTCTTCTGTTTTAATGGCGGCTATAATTGGACAGTGGAGATCTGGGCCGGGGCGGATCAGAAAATTTAATTGAAATTAATGTTGAACCAAATATATTTATGATCTGTTTTTTTTTAATTTTCTCTCTTTCTTCCATCTCCGCTTCACTCACACGAATTTCAGCTGCTTTTCGGGCAACCACAATTCCGGATTTCGAGCTGTTCAGTTGAGCTGTTTTTAGTATTTTTCTCAGCTAAATTTAGCAAGAAATTTAGGAAAACTGTCAGTCTGGCATCAACTCTTTCATCGTCGTCCCAGCTTCCTTCATTACCATTATTACTCCACCTTGATTTCTGAACTTTTATTTATTTTTATCCAGCATCGTTTTCAACAAAATGTATAATGTCTCTGAATCTTTTTTTTCCCCTTTCCAAAAAAACAAAATAAAAATCTCGCCTAAATTGTGTTTAATTAACCTAGGTAGCGCGTGATTAATTAATTAATTAATTAAATAATCAACGAGATTAATAACCGGGTGGCACTACAGTGTCGAAATTGTTGTCTTATTGATGAGGAATTTATTAAAGATGTACTCCGATCCATTGATATGATTGAAGTAGGAAAAAGATGGCAAAGTAGCTGGGCGTGTTAATTAATTGATTAATTAATTAATTAATTATCTTGTTGTTATGGATAATTAATGGTGTTGTTGTTGATGATGATGGTGGTGGCGGCACAGGAAAATGGCGGAGCTTGGATATCATCGAAATGCTAAGAAGTGCAAGGAGAAATTCGAGAACGTTTACAAGTACCACAAGAGAACAAGGGACGGCCGGGCCACCAAGGCCGACGGCAAGACCTATCGCTTCTTCGATCAGCTCGAGGCTTTCGAGCATTCCCCGTCGCCGGCTCTTCCGCCGCCGCCTCCTCGGCCGCTGTTGACCGCTCCTCCTCCGCCGTCTCAGCAATTGCAAGTGAGTACTACGAATTCCAATGCAAATACTAATCCAGCCACTTCTGGCAACCCGCCTGCCCAAGTTACTGTTCCATCGGCGCAAAACCCATTCGGGGTTCAGAATCCGGGGAGTTCTCCGACGTTTCCGCCGCCGTCGCAGGCGAGATCGGCGCAGGTGTCGGTGCCACCGAACAATGCGAGCGCAGTGTTTCCTGCGCGTAGTGGTGGTGCTCCGGGGAGTCCGTTTTCGGATTCCACCTGGTCTTCTACATCTTCCGACGAGGATATGCAGAGACGGCACCGGCGGAAGAGGAAGTGGAAGGATTTCTTCGAGCGGCTGATGAAGGACGTGATCGAGAAACAGGAGGAGCTGCAGAAGAAGTTTCTGGAAGCTCTGGAGAAGAGGGAGCGGGATCGGATGGTGAGGGAGGAAAGTTGGAGGGTGCAAGAGATGGCCAGGATGAAAAGGGAGCACGATCTCCTCCTCCAAGAAAGATCTATGTCGGCGGCCAAGGACGCCGCCGTGCTTCAGTTCCTACAGAAGGTCTCCGAACATCACAATCTTGAAATTCCCATCCCCATCAGCAACTCAACTCCTCCACCTCCCCACGTCCCGCCGGAAAGTATTCCAACGCCGACACAGCCTCATCCTCCACCACCTCAATCTCAGCATCCGCCTCCTCAAGGCCCAGAGCCCATATCAGTGGCGCCGCCGGCCACAACGCCGTTCCCGATTTCATCTCCCACTACCCCTTCCGTTACAAACAAGATCTTAGAAGTTTCCAAACAGGACGACAACAATGCAATCACTGTCATGGAGAATTACAGTCCGGCGAGCTCGTCGAGGTGGCCCAAGACGGAGGTACAGGCGTTGATCACTCTCCGGACAAATCTGGACACCAAGTACCAAGAAAGCGGCCCAAAAGGGCCGCTCTGGGAGGAGATATCTGCAGGGATGAAGAGGCTCGGGTACAACCGGAATCCAAAGAGGTGCAAGGAGAAATGGGAGAACATCAACAAGTACTTCAAGAAAGTGAAGGAGAGCAACAAGAGAAGACCGGAAGACTCAAAGACTTGCCCCTACTTTCACTTGCTGGACGCAATCTACAAGGAGAAAGCCATGGGCAGTCCCGGCGGCGGCGGCTCGGCAGCATTCAAACCGGGCAACACCCAGATGGTGCCCATCATGGCACAGCCGGAACAGCAATGGCCACAGCCGCCGCCGGAGCACCGCCACCCGCAGCAACACGAGAGCGACAACATGGACGAAGACGGGGAAGATGACGAGGACGACTATGACGACGAAGACGGGGGAGGTTACGAGATAGTGACGAACAAACAGCAGCAGCAGCACCACCAGCATCAGGCGGCGACCGGCACAGCGTGAGTTGAGGAAATGTACGTAGATGCGTCGGAGGACATGACCGGTGAGGGGAGAATAATGAGAGAGTTTGAAAGCTAATCTATCATCATATTGATTCATTATAATCAGTCAGGCATTGGGAAGAGGCCGGGAGTAAGTGGGTCAACTGATAATAATTTGCAGACTTTGTCAGAGGAAGATGAAGAAGAATGTGTGGTGGGGTGGGGGTGGGGGTGGGGGTCAGATCCGAATTTCCTCCGCCGGGTTGGGTTTCTGAAGCGGTGGCGCGGTGGAATTGTATATGTGCACAGGCGGCCTCAATATCATATCATCATCAAGGTTCATACTTTTCCTGAGTGTTTATTTTATTTTTATTTTTATTTATTTTTTTGTGTAAAACCAGAAAGACGGAGGGAGAAGGTCATGTGGTTAAAGGTCATTATAATTGGGTAGTTTTTTTTCGCTATAAGTTTTTTTTTAATTTTCATTTCAAAATTTATTTATTATTTCCTAATAAGGTTAGTTTTTATTTAGGGGACATAAAAACTATATTTGGGGGGAAAGAGACTCCGAGAAAAATAAATAAATGCACATTTTCATTTGTAACTTTATAATTACTCTTTTGTAAAACGGAAACTTGTATTTTTTTATTATTTATTCGCTGTTTGGATGTAAATGTGAGAATTGCAAATTGAATACTTATATTGTACAACCATTTCTTTACTTTTCTTCAATAATGTATACTTGTCTTTACTTTTCAGTTTAGCTAAATTGCTTGGATTAGACGATTACCTTCAAATTAATTTATTTATATGTATTCACTCACTAGGCTTTTTTTTGGTTATATTACTCTAGGCCAAATAGCACCAGTACCCCCCGTAGTTTGCAAAATAGGCACCAAAACTCCCTCTGTTTTCAAAACTTATTTCTAAAGTCTTTGTGGTTTCAAAATGCTGCACCCGTGCCCCCTCTGATCATTTTCCGGCCATTTTTCCGGCGAAGAAGGGGGGTATTGCTGCATATTTACTAAACCACAGGGGTATCGGTGCTGATATTTATTTCTCGCTTATTTTTTTGTTTTTTTTTCATTTTTTCCTTTATTTGTTACTTTTATTAATAAAGGTTTTTTAAAATTATTTTTAAATGCTCATAAAATTTAAAGTTATTTTTGTTTGAAAAAATTAACATATAACGTGTATGTACTTCTCAAATCAATAATTTTTGTTTTTTCTGAAAAAGTAAACTTTTTTTGGAGAATTTCAAAAAAATGATGAATAAAATAAGAAACAAAATAATAGAAAAATAAAAATGAATATCTTTATCGAACATCTCAATTCGAAGGACTTTTTTAGGCTTGTCCATTTTTTGTATCAGACTTTTTTTGTGTACTTTTTTTTTCATTTTATTTTTCCATATTTTTATTTTTTTATTCTAGGTTTTTCTTTTTGAACTTTCCAAATAAGTACCTAACAAAAAGTGAAAATGTTTAATTTCAAATAGATGCAATGTATGTTAATTTTTTTATTTTTATTTTTATTTCAAAAACAAAAAATTTTAAAATTTTAAAACATTATAAAAATATTGAAAATAAATTAGAAAAAAAAACTAGGAAAAGCAAAAAGAGATAGAAAATATTTAAAAAAAGAAAAATACAAATAATAATGTATTTTTCAAATTAATTTATTTATATGTATTCACTCACTAGGCTTTTTTTTGGTTATATTACTCTAGGCCAAATAGCACCAGTACCCCCCGTAGTTTGCAAAATAGGCACCAAAACCCCCTCTGTTTTCAAAACTTATTTCTAAAGTCCTTGTGGTTTCAAAATGCTGCACCCGTGCCCCCTCTGATCATTTTCCGGCCATTTTTCCGGCGAAGAAGGGGGGTATTGCTGCATATTTACTAAACCACAGGGGTATCGATGCTGATATTTATTTCTCGCTTATTTTTTTGTTTTTTTTTCATTTTTTCCTTTATTTGTTACTTTTATTAATAAAGGTTTTTTAAAATTATTTTTAAATGCTCATAAAATTTAAAGTTATTTTTGTTTGAAAAATTTAACATATAACGTGTATGTACTTCTCAAATCAATAATTTTTGTTTTTTCTGAAAAAGTAAACTTTTTTTGGAGAATTTCAAAAAAATGATGAATAAAATAAGAAACAAAATAACAGAAAAATAAAAATGAATATCTTTATCGAACATCTCAATTCGAAGGACTTTTTTAGGCTTATCCATTTTTTGTATCAGACTTTTTTTGTGTACTTTTTTTTTCATTTTATTTTTCCATATTTTTATTTTTTTATTCTAGGTTTTTCTTTTTGAACTTTCCAAATAAGTACCTAACAAAAAGTGAAAATGTTTAATTTCAAATAGATGCAATGTATGTTAATTTTTTTATTTTTATTTTTGTTTCAAAAACAAAAAATTTTAAAATTTTAAAACATTATAAAAATATTGAAAATAAATTAGAAAAAAAAACTAGGAAAAGCAAAAAGAGATAGAAAATATTTAAAAAAAGAAAAATACAAATAATAAATGAAAAATAAAAAATGAGCACGAATACCCCCTATGGTTTAAAAATTATGCGCAAATGCCCCCTCTTCGCCGGAAAATGGCCGGAAAATGATCAGAGGGGGCACGGGTGCAGCATTTTGAAACCACGGGGACTTTAGAAATAAGTTTTGAAAATAGAGGGGGTATTGATGCCAATATTCCAAACCACAGGGGGCACCGGAACTATTTGGCCTATTACTCTATCTCGTAAGTCTGCTTTGTCCCCTATTTTTGGATATGAAGAAGTGACATGTATGGTAGAAAAATGTAGAATTTTGTGGTTGATATTACAAAAAAGAAAAGGAAAAATCTAAATGTACCTCAAGGTAATGTACCCTAGGACCTAGGTGTACATCATCACCACACACAAATAAACACCGAATATTTGTATGAAACATAGATAATGAGTCTCTGTATGTATCTGTGAGAAGGTGAGATACACATGATCTACACCACCGTATGGGACACACCTAGTGAATCCCAAAAGCAAAAGAGAACCTATTTGACTCATAGACATTATACCCAAGCAACATATACAAGGAAATATTTTACTCTGTATAAAAATATACTCCGGGGTGGCTAAATTAAAAATAATAGGAACAAACAATAAAATATTATTAGAAAAAATAATAAGTACCAAAATTCAAAATAAAAATTTAGATATAAAAGTATAATAGTAATAATAATAATAATATACTCCGTAATAATTAAAGTAATATAATAATACTTCGTAATAATTAAAAAATATAATAATAAGAATAACAATTATAATATGATGATAATAATAATTAAATGATAAATTAAAATAACAATTATTTTAGGGAAAATTAAATAATAATAATAATAAAAGAATAATAAAAATAAATATAATAATAGAATATTAATACTCTGTAAGAAATTAAAATAAAAACAAATACTCTGTATTAAAAATAAATAAAAATTAAAATAGAAAATAGTGTTAAATGGAAAAAGCAACTGATATTATTATTCAGATTGTTAATAAATAAAGTAAAAACATTAAGTAAAAAGAAATTACATCCTTTCATCCTTCGCATACCTTCTCATCCTTTCCTTCAACTCCCATCTCCTACCCTCGGGTGAGCATCGTAGATATGGTACCGTATTCAATCTACCATCACATTATTCCACTACAAGAAATTACGTCTTTCGCCACACTTAAAATTGCTCTTCGCAACATATATAAGTATGGCAAAAAGTGTTCGCCACACATGAGCTAAGTGTGGCGGCTAAAAGTGTGGGGAAAATTTTGCGACACATAATAAGTGTGGCAAAATGAATACGGTAAGCACACTTGTAAGTGTTGCTAATCTTGTCTTTTGCGACATTTATATGTGTTTCCAACGCACCGCACATGTAAATGCGGCAATTTTTATTTGCTTGAAAAAAATAAATAAATAAATATATATATATATATATAGACACACACACACATACATATAAATTAAAAATCAAGACAATCAAAGTTTAAATTAAATTAACTTCTTGCATATAAAAAGCTATGCCATCATCAAATTATAAGTACCTCCATGGGTAGTACGTATATCAAAAATTTAGAGTCAAAACAAATGAGTTCAAAATTAAAAAGGAGTGCAATATATATTCAGTATTCTATGATATGTCCTCCAACCACTGCACAATGTAGATCTTCACTTTGTATTCAAACTAGTGCGGAATCACTCAGGCATAAGCCTGACTTCAGTTTATAAATTAATCTACTTCTGCTCTCTTATGCATAAGCCTGACTTCAGTTTATAAAAAAGTTTTACCATCTTTTCTTGTGTTATTATCTTTGTTCAGACACCTGCAAAGTCCAAAAAACTTTGAATTAAATCTCTATCATATAAGAATTATGCAAAAAAAGTGATACCTAAGTATAAAAAGACATGCAAAACAGTGAAAGGCAGTATCATTGAAGATGAAAATTATTGAAGATGAAAATTAGAGCTATAGATCATGTAGTATCATGATATCATCATCACCTTAGTCCCAATTAATTAGGGTCAAGGACATGAAAGTTATAGTGCCACTTAGTTGTTTAAATAAGTTTAACACTATGAAATTTATGCAAAAAAGTGTTTAACAGATCTGGACTAGTGCCTATCGTTGGACTAGTGTTTTCATAAATTGGACTAGTGTTTAAAAAGTTTAACACTATGAAATAATAGCCTCGGTCGTTGGACTAGTGTTTAAAAAGTGTTTTCTCTCCCTGTCGTTGGACTAGTGCCTCGACCGAGGCTATTATTGCTACCGGGAGTCCCATGACCGAGGCTATTATTACCCTACGGCATGTATACCATAGCTACTCAGAAAAACATATTCTCCATCACATATAGTTACTCGAAGCAGGGCAAAAATTCTTGAAGGGAGGAAGCTGATTCCAGTAGGATGGGTAGAGGAACAAAAATTGCATGAACATGAACTCTTATGAAACATATATATGCACACACACACAATATATAATGCACTTACAAGTATAGATTTGTCTAGCTTTTCTCGTAGTACTGTGTTTAACAGATCTGGATCTGCCCTGTTCTTGCACAAACCAGTAGCCTGCAAATATTAAACACACACTGACATGATTAGTATTAGATCTAGTATATCCTACCATGCTCATTCTAATGATATGATTCTAATTGACAAAAAAACATACTCATTACATAGTCAATTATCACACTATATGTTGTTCACCCTTACCATTCTGAAAAAGAACTTTTGTAGTAGTCGATGACTACAACAAGTCCACATGATAAATACAGTATAAGTCAGTGTCACTATTATGTGTAATATTCCTAGAGTTATTAAAATAAATTCATCAAAAACCCTTACCCGCATAGTCGCTACTTGCTTTTGGAATCCACCTTGCTCTTGATGATTTGTTTTTTCAATGAAGTTTGTTTTTTTGCAAGATTGAAAAAATCCACCTTGCTCTTGATGATTTGTTTTTTTGCAAGATTGAAAAAATCATCTCTTAAATGTAAGAAAAAAAGTATAAAGTTTTGTTATTCAACATCTTTAAATGAGCCTAAGTCAAATGTGTCTCTTGGCTTTGCATGAACAACATGCTCCCATCCTTTATCTCTCTCGTCTTCAACGTAAAACACTTGTTGGGCTTGTGAAGATAAGATATAAGGATCATCCTTTAAAGCCCCTCCGACATGTATCTTATGTGTGAAATTCAAGAGTGTGAATCCTCTTTTGTCCTTCTTAATCCCTTTTGAGTGCACATTCACCCAGTCACAACGAAAAAGTACGACTTTATACTCTGAATAATAATCTAACTCAATAATGTCATTGATTTTTCCAAAGTATGTTTTATCCCCAGCTTCAACTGCAACGCCAAAATTTTGAGTTTTGTTCTTCTGGTCTCTTTTTTGAGTGTGAAACCGGTACCCATTGATCACAAACCCGTTCATTCTCTTCACTACTCGATGAGGACCTGAAGCCACCGCCCTAAACACACTTGATTCTGAATCTTCAATATCTATGTTTGAGACCTAAGGTATATATATGAATAGCATTAGTTATATGGAAAAAGCCTACTTTAAATTATTGTCATTCGAAGACATAAGTTCATTAACAAATACCCTTTCTCTTATCCAAGTTGGAAAATCCTCAACCAACCATTTTTGCTTAATTGCATCTGTTGGCACTCGTGGATAAGATTCCAATTTTTCATTTAAAAACAACCTACAATACGTAAAAAGAGATAAAAATTCATGTTATTGATCATTATCTTGATTCAAAAATAATAAGTACACTGACCTATGATACTCATCAATACCATCAAGATGAAGGAGTACATATCGATGAGCTTGTTGAAAATCTAATTCAGGAATTTCAACCATATCCACCATTCCTTTAGGCTCACCCGCAGTATCAAAAAGATAAGTGTCATTACCAACGAGACTACTATCATTGCGTCGTTGTCGATTAAAAACAGTTTCCACCCCTCCAAAATACCTTGAGCAAAAGGTTATACATTCATGCGTAATGTATCCTTCTGCGATTGAACCCTCTGGTTGTGCCTTATTACGTACTAGGCCTTTAAGAAATGCAAGAAACCTACGATGACCAAAAATAAATATTACATCTATAATTGATACTTACCTAAACATAAAAGAATAGTATTTATTCTTACCTCTCTATTGGATACATCCATCTGTAAAAAACAGGACCTCCAAGCTTTACTTCATCAGGCAAGTGAATAATCAGGTGAACCATGATAGTGAAAAAATGTGGAGGAAATATTTTCTCCATTTTACACAATGTTGTTGCGATATTAGCTTTCATTCCATCCAATTTTTCAATAGACAATTCCTTCGAGCATAATTCCTTAAAAAATGTTGATAATTCAATCAAAACATCAACAACATTGGTATCTTTAGCAACCCTTAAGGCAATATGGAGCAGGTCATGCATCAAAATGTGACAATCATGACTTTTCAAATTGAATAATTTGCGCTCTCTTAAATTCACACATCGAGATATATTACTTGCATATCCATCTGGGAATCTTACATGCTTCAAGACATTTAGAAAACGTGTCTTCTCTTCAGATGACAATGTATAAAGGGCATCAGGGATTTCATACTTGCCATTTGGTAACAAAATAGGATGAAGAGAGGGTTTAATATTTAAAACCTGTAGATCTTTACGTGCCTTCAAGTTATCTTTTGATTTCCCTTCTATATTCAAAAATGTACCCAAGAAATTATCACATATGTTCTTCTCAATATGCATAACATCCAGACTATGACGAAGGAGATTATATTCCCAATAAGGCAAATCAAAGAAAATACTTCGCTTCTTCCATATCTGTTGTTCATCATTTTCATTGATTTCCACATTTTGAAAATCACCCTTGCCATATGTAAATGTTGTACCTCGTAATTGCTCTAGCACATCACTACCACAACAACATTTAGGAGCATCAACAAAGTCAACATTCCCATCAAATCCAACATCATCAAAACGGAATGCATGATTCTTAGGAAGCCACCTTCTATGACCCATGTAGCAAAATTTATGCCCATTTTCCAACCATATCGAATGTGTATCTTTAGCGCAAGATGGGCAGGCAAAACGGCCCTTAGTACTCCAACCAGATAAATTTGCATATGCTGGAAAATCATTGATTGTAGAATGGAGAGCTGCACGCAACTTAAATTTGTTATTCGTGTATGCATCGAACGCATCAACCCCATTCCATAATTGTAATAATTCTTTGATTAAGGGTTGAAGATAAACATCAATATCCATTCCAGGAGCCTTTTCTCCCGGTATAATCATAGATAAAATAAATGAGTGTTGTTTCATGCATAGCCAAGGAGGCAAGTTATATGGAATAAGCAACACTGGCCAAGTACTATGATTTGTACTCATGATTCGGAATGGATTAAACCCATCGGTAGCAAGTCCCAACCTAACATTACGTGGATCAGAAGCAAAATCAGGATTCAATCTATCAAAATCCTTCCATGCTTTTGCATCTGCTGGATGCCTTAGCTTTCCATCTTTGACCCTGTCTTTTTGGTGCCAAATCATATCCTCAGCTATCTTCGAAGACTTGTACATTCTGAGTAACCTTGGTATAAGAGGAAAGTAACGCAATACCTTATGTGGTACTTTTTTATTTTCGTCTTTCCAACGTGAAGCACCACATTTGTCACACTCATTTTGATTTTCCCTTCCATTCCAGTAAAGAATACAATCATTAACACAAGCATGGATCTTTTCGTAATGAAGCCCTAAATCCCTCATTAACTTCTTACATTCATTCCATGATGTTGGAAATGGTGTAATCTTTGGGAAGACAACCCCTAAAAGTTCAAGCAACATGTTGAATGATTTAATGGACCAACCATGCATGCATTTCAGATGGAACAAGTGTAACATGAAAGATAACCTTGAATAACTTGATCCCGGATATAACTCCTGATGGGCTTGCTCAAGTAGATTTTTGTACCCAGCCTCTTCAAAGTTCTCATCTTCATTCATAGCTTCGTAAGAGTTAAGTTCATCAATAAAGTCATCATTTACCATAAAATGCTCACCATCTATACCAAATGAAGGATCTAAATTAGGATGATTACCGGAGTCAGGGTGCTGCGATTTTTTATAAATCCCTTCATTGCATATCCCGAAAATATCACTGAACAATGCATTAGTGTCCACATTGCCATCAAAGTTTGTGTCATTGGTAGCGTTGGTGTGGCTTGGAGTATGTGGAATTGATGCACCTGTAGTCAAAATTGGTTCCCCATGATGCACCCATTCTGTGCACTTAGGTCAAAATTGGTTCCCCATGAGGTGTTCAGTCACTTCATCTCTATTAAAATAGCGACTACGACCAATTTTACAACGATTACAAGGGCAAAGAATCACATTACGGTTTGGAGCATTTGCAAAAGCAAAATCGAGGAATGCTTGAACTCCACCTATATATTGTGTCGATGTTCTATGCATATTAATCCAACTCTTATCCATTTCAAAAAATGTTTTAACCTATAAAAAAAGAAGAAACAATGTTTTAACCTAAAAAAGAATAAAAACTAATAAACCATATACATTTCTTTTATACTTAAATGACAAAAAATAATAAAATACTTTGTTAAATAGGTGTGTCCTGCAAAAAAAACCAACTGGGCACAAACCTTATGTATACATGAACACATGTGAGAGAGTAATAAAGAGTGTTTGACATGACTTTATTACAAAGAATAAGTGTTAGAGAAAGTAAGTTGTATCAACTAGATAATGTATACTTGCAAGCCACACCATAATAGCTTAGAACAGAGCAAACAAATGCCTCTATTCCATATATGAATTAACTATCCTCATTCCAGAAAACAGAGCAAAGAATAAGATATCAAAAAACAATGCCTATACATTTTATTGAGTATTTACATCAATTAGGAGTAAATATCTTGTAATTCAATAAGGCTGTACAGATTTTTAGGGTCTAAATTTTAAAAATTAGCGCAATAGATTTTTAGACAATCTAATTTCAAGACAATCTAATTGCAGGCCAAACGAATTGAATGCTAAGATGATACGCAAGATAGATTAGGTTTACAAACCTGGCCGGTGGATTGTGAAAGTGATGCTGAAGGACTGATGCAGACTGATGTAGGCCGGAAGAGATGTGCGCGAGAGAGATGAATGCTATGCGTGCGCCAGAGATAGAACGCGATGGTGCGCCACAGAGATGAGCGATTCCAGGGCTAGAGAGCACGCAGACGGCAGAACGAGTGAGAATGGATCGATAGATTAGGTTTACAGATTTTGGTTTGAGGAGATGAATTATTAGGGGGAATAATGGAGCGGAGAATGAAAACTTAAGCGCGGGATTAAATTTTTAGTGATTTAGAATAAGCGGGCTTAGATTTTTTAAGGTGATTAGGGATTAATTTTAGAATTTCAATTACTAAAGTGCAATTAATTTAATAAATTAAATACATTTTCTTAAATTAAGTATATATAATTGATTTGGCACACTTAATTATGTGGGTACATGAAATTATTTATAACAACTCTTTTAAGTGTGGAGAAATATTTAAGTGTTAAATTTTATTGCCACACTTAGTCAAGTGTGGCAAATTAAATGCGGCGAAACTCATAATTTCTTGTAGTGTTCACATCCTACTTTAACCTATCACATTCAAGAACATTTTTGAAAAATCAATATCAAAATAGTCTTTCCATAATTTCTTTAAGAGTCAAAACTAGAAAGTTTTTGTAAAATGAATGAAGTACTAAATTTCAAGATAAACCATTTAAATTTAATTACGGCACTGCGTAAGTAAAAAATGTTAACACTCATATATTCCCGAAGTTTTTTTCAGGGAATCCATGCAGCGGCTAATAATAACGAAGGGATGAAGTGATGTCTTCTTGGTGGAAGCTATATATCTGATGTGCAATGACGTCTTTGCTCTTTTCAATTAGTTATCTCCCGGTTACACAGGCTATCCATCAACGGGAGCTACGGTCGGGGAATGGATCGAGTATCCTTATTCATATTTTGGTTCATATTTTTGTCTGATTGAATTTACTTTGATAAGACAAGAATTTGAATAGAAATTATCAAACGAGTTAATTAGGAGTTGCGGACTGCGTAAGCGTTTGCTCATAGGATTGTAAGCATTTGGGGCGTCCACTGTGCGTTTGCTCATAGGATTGTAAAATGGTCCCAAAAACCAAAACAAGTCTTTCCTGCGCATTTTGTCCGCACTCGTGCGCGCCGAGGAAACTTCATAAAGAGTCTCCCATCCTAGAATTGTTCCAAATCAAACACGCTTAACTTCCGAGTTTCATAGTGATGAGCTCTTGAAAAGAAGATGCACTTTATTAGTATGAGCTGTACTATTAATCCTTTGAGCCTTTTCATTTCCCAATCTATTTATTTTCAAATTAGGGTATTACAAGCAGGGTCGGCGGCAGCCCCCGGTGGCGGGATCCAAGGGGCAGAGCCCTGGCCGTTGTCCTTCAGATTTTCGTGAGCGAGTCCAAAACTTTAAAGATTCAGACGTATGGATAAAGCATTCACGCAAATGTTTACCTCTTAAGCGAATATTCATATGACATTTGTATCTATACACGGGAATGTTCGCATCTTTACGCAAATGTCTAATCCCAATTTTTGATTCAATAAAAAAAAGTCTGTTAGTATTGTTGAGGAACAGATTTGAAACGCTTGTTCTCCAATTTTTAGCGTTTACGCGATTTGTTTAACTATGAAGCCGTAATTCATCTGTTTCTTCGTTCATCGTTCTATCAGCGCTGCTTTGCAACGTTCACCGACCACCATCCAAACAAATTTTTAACAGTTCCCACATTGAAAAACAAAGAAAACTATCAGTGGCTTATATAGAAGAGTTGAAGCCATACCAATCAGATTAAACTTTTGCGTTATAACGTGGATCTCAAATTTATACATAAGATGTTAACTTTACTAGATACTCTACTCGTTGTTTAATTTTCACACTAATTTTGAAAATTAATTAAATCAGATTAATTAGATTTATCTTTTCAAATATGTTTGAAATATTACTTTATACGGAGTATAATTAATATACCATAGGTTTAAAATTAATCCTTATTGATTATAAAAAAAAATTAAAACTAGACAAATAATCACAATATATTGAGTAAATAAAAACATGAGTAAACTTGCAATATGTTGATAAATGCTTTTTTTCAAATAAAAATTTTGGTATATACATTTTAACTCTTATTTCGAAAATAAAAATATAAAACTTTTATTTTGATATATATTTTCAATATTATACATCTACTTTTTCTTTAAAATTTAAAGATTGAAAGAATGAATTAAAAAAGTAAAATAATGGGGCAGAACATGACAAATACAGTAATTAAATGGATCCAAATGTTACCCAACATTGATGGTGATCTTTCATAGGCCGAGTTAAAAAAAATCACATGATTTTAACATCTTTAATTACCAGTTACCACCATGGGTGAATCTGTACGTGAGNCCCCCCCCCCCCCCCCCCTCCCCCCGGGATTTTATTTTAGATTTTAGATTATATATTGTGTAATGGGAAATAAGAGTGCACAAGCTAATTAAGGGATCCCCCACTTAGCACGCAAATTGGTAAGACACGAGGGTAGGGTACCCTATGAAGTGGGGAAATATATGCATTGAGTGAATTGGAATTTGGAAGACTTATCTCCAAATCCTCATATTATGTCCTCATTTATTTGAACATTAATCAAACTTTAATCTTAATCTTTAATATATATAGTGAGCGAGATCAATTTTTTTTGGAATTTAGACTTCCTCTAATCTAAATATCTAACAACTAATCATGTTAGGGGTGCACCAAGAAGTGTATCTCAAGGATATGTATCAACATTTTAATACTTCACAATGACATAAAATATTGGTTCAATCAAAAAAATTTATACTGACATTTAGTGTCATTGTAAATCATCACAATAGCATTACACTTACACAAAATGTTAGTGCATACCTTTAGGGCATAATTTTTAGGTTCACATAGTCTAATTCAATATCTAAATACTACTCTGTACTTAGCAATATATATTGAATTAAGCTAATTGTACCAAACAAATTATAACTCATTTTGTACTCCAAGAACATGCACCAACATTTTATACTAGTGTAATGCTAGTGTAATAATTTACATTGACACAAAGTGTCAGTGTAAATTTCATTGATTACATGCACTAACATTTTATGTCACCGTGATCCGTAAAAATGTCAGTGCATCTCCTTGAGGTACAACTTGAGATACATTTTTTAGTGTACCCCTAACATAGTTGATATAGATGACTTCACTCAAAAATAAAGTGTCCAACCAAAAGATATTATGTTAGTTACTTTGTTGGATAATATAATTCAATTCCGGTCCATTTTGAATACCTACAAATACAATTTCTACTTCCCCTAATATATAATGTCTAATTGTCTATACATATATATACAGTTCAAAATTAGTACTCCCTCCGTTCTATAAAAGTGTTCCTATTTTGACTTTATGTAAAAATAAGGAAGTGTTAAATTGTAGTTGACTTCCAATTTTGCCCTTGATGTGATGGATAAAAGTAAGATGTGATGGACTGAGTATTAGAGAAAAAGTATGATGTGATAGGTAGGGTATAAAAAAGTAAGGGTAAAAGTGGTTTTTTAATATAAAGTGGAAGTGTTTTGTTGGAATTAAAAAAAATGAAAGAGGAAGAGTTTTTGAGAACGGAGGAACTAACAATTTAATTTTGTTCGTACGAGTAGTATTGTTATGTGCTGACTTTGCATATATATATATATATATATATATATATATATATATATATATATATATATATATATATATATATATATATATATATATATATATCGAGCCGGCCACTATGTTGAATCGAATAATTATGATCTATCATTCATGGTGGTAAAAAAGTTTATTATTGATAAGCTGTCCAATTCATAGAGATACCTTTTGTTCCCTTTACCCACATGACTTGTAGGGTTCTAAAATTACTCTTATTTTTATTATTACGATTAATAATCATACTGTTGAATAATTCTTGTTATTCACCTTAAATATTACGGAGTATTACGATTATGGTGGAGTATACGTTATTATCACTATTTATGATTCATATTAGAAATTCCTACCCCGTATTAATTTTAATCTTTATTAATTAGTACTATTACTATTGACTATCAATGTTATTAATGCGTTCTGCAATCCGTATGAGAGAGAACAAAGTTGGAGAGAATAGATAAATTCAACTTTGATTACAGATTGGTGACGAAAGTGTAATTTGCATCTGGTATTTGCAGATGTTCTATGTTTAACATAATTGTCTCTTAACGCATTTGTCAGAAATCAAACATGTGTCTTATCCCTTGGTAGAGAGAACAAACTTCAAAGAGATAACAATTGGAGGATTAATTCATCTAAATGAATGTCTATAGACAAAGAAAAGAAATGCACACAAACACAAAGAGTTGAATATTAAACCGGATTATTATTATTGTTGTGGTTGTTGTTATATTATACGGAGTAATTATTATCATCATTATTATTTCATCGACCACTCCAATTTAGTTTTGTGTCTTCACCGGACTTCATTTCATTCTCATTTCTCAATCGCAAAAAGATGGCTAATTATCAATCATAATCTTGTGAAGTGATGATAAATGATAATGTAATTTTTTGAATTGAAATAAGAGTTGAATGATACATTTATCAATAATTTGGACCATCAATAGAGTTGTACCATGTAACGCGCCACGACAAGCACAATTCATACCACTAATTAAAGTTATATATACAGCCCCATTTATTTTCATTTTTTTAAAAGAATTTTCATTTAATTTTATTGACTTGATCGTCCAACAAATTAAACGCGGCATATTCTAGTCAGAAATACAATAAATTTAGGGACATAAAAGAATTCTGAATTAGATAAATAAAATTAAAGGATTTCACAACCTTCGGTTTTAATTAACTTGTCTAGTTTGATTTTTTCGAGTTTAACTGTATTAATTTTGAGCTTTAATTACATTGAATTTGTGTTCTATATTAGTACAATAAAATAAAATTATGAAAATCTCAACAGAATTAATCTAATAAAACCATTTTTATACCATTATGCATCGCATTTTTTTTAAAAAAATGAATTTCAAAGTTTATCTTCTTCGACTCGAAAAAATTAAACTAGACAAATACACTTGGACGAAGAGGGTAACGATGTTATCCCCCCATATATATGAATATTACCCACTCCCTAAAACTCTCTAAAATTAACTTTCTAATAAATTAATTGAATTGATAATTTATTTAAATATATAATTGAATTGAAATTGTGAGAATCAAGGTAAAAAATCCGTTTTAGTTTTTATTTGAGAATAGATGTACACAACAAAGAAACAACAAGTGGAGTACATATATGCATGCATACCGTAAAGAAAACATGAAGTGAACGGACAAAGCATTGAGAACACGGCAGATTATGTTTTTATGCAAGGCGCATTCGTCATGCCAACATAGAGGTTGGTATAGAGTACATATAAAATATCTGATGGATCATGACATTAACTCTCATATCATGAGATGACTCGAGAGTGCTCCCCTGTCTCGTTCGTACAATTAACAATTTTTATTCAGAAAATACTTCAAATCACCTTGATCCGAACACATCCATTACCCACTTCAATTGCACCTCTCAAATTAATTTTGACTTTGGGGTCAATCCTGTGACATGTCAGACAATGCCATAGAAACCACCCCATAAAAATATTTCTTAGATTATCATCACCTTAAATATTTTAAATCTAATATTATATCATTTCTCCAAAACCTTGGGAAATGGCGAGGTTTATTGTAAAAAAAAACGATAAATAAGCCCTGAATCACATAATCACGAATACTTAAGAGTACATTAAGATGGTGCGATTTGACAATCTGCTTTTGTTTATAAATATAGAGTATGACTCTAGAGAAGTGTAGGTAAAATGTTCTAAAAATGTCTTTAAGCAAAATTAAAAGTACTCGATTTTTTTCTTCCACTTCAAACTTTTACTTCTTTTTTCATAAACTACTGCAATCTCAATCAACCACTAAGTTTGGTTTGTACCACTCAAATTAAGGGAGAAGTTCCTTAACAATAAGAGATTCTATTGGTTTATCATTAATTTTTTTTTTTAAATTTATGATCTTCAAATGCCCAATTAGTTTTAGTAGTCTTCTAAGTACATATCGGTAGTTTCTTAAATTTGAAAACTACTCCGTATTAAAGATCTTAAAGTAAAAGATTATAAATGCTTCGTAAAATACTCTTGTTAAAAATACAATATTAAAATGAAGTAAATGTAAAATGGGTAATTAACCTAAATAAGACTAAAACATAATATATTTATCAATATAAGATCATATATCCTCAATCTTTCGAAACCAATCATTTAAAATGAATTTTTTAAAACATACTAGTATTTCATATGGGCTTTAACACCAATCCATCAGGACGAGTTAACCTCCAATTGTACTCCATAATATGGAATCCACGAAGTAAGATTTTGTGGCCCAAGTTGCTTGGTTCGGCAAAACCATCTAAATGCGCTTTTTTGTGTGAACTACAAAGTTATTGGATCTTGTTTATAAAATCAAGGACTTGCCATTTCTAATATTGGCAATGGTTCCGGCCCGATGGGCCTAGCTATACACGAATTTGCTTTCTTTGGATCAGAGACATATTTTAAATAGATGGCAACCAATATCTTTAACGAATATTTTTATGAAATTAATTTCATTGATCAATAAAATAATATAATCATATGACCTCATGTTTGGAATTTCTCTCATCTTGAAAAATATTTTGCACTTCTTTTGGATGTTTTAAAAATATTTGACACCTTTTTTTGAAAAATTTTAATCCGGAGTAATTAATATGGAAAATATCTCTAGATAGAAATAAAAGAATTTTAAAACAACTAAATAAGAGCACTAGTTTATTAAAATTTAGATTGGAATTAAATGTAACATATAAAATAGTTTTACCTTTTATTCAAAATTTTAAAACTTTATTTAGAATTTAAAAAAAAAAATAAATTACTCATCTTTGAGCCACATGTCTCACTTTTTTTTATCCACATTTTATTAGTACAAGAGTAAAATTTAAAATGTTCAATTGGTACTAAAAAAATTGATTTGGCATCAAACTTTGTCTCAAATACTATTGTAACCGAGTATTTGATGTAGATTTTGGAATTCACCACAAATACATCGCTAAAAAAAATAATTGTTGCAAAGTTTGGTGCCTCAAAATTTAAATTTTTTTGTAGTCTTGCTGGGTGCGGTCTCTCTTTACCTCACCAAAAAAATTCATACTTTTCTTATTTGGATTTAATGGTCTAACAAAAATTCACATTTCTATTTTTACTACCATAAGGAACGTGTGACC